TTTATAAATTCAACATAGTTACTGTTTATCATTGCAGAATATACTTTAGAACAACAATATAAAATCATAGACTTGACAAGCATACTGAAACATTTATTAACAAATCTTCAAGATACACTAATATACTATTTACGAAAATTACAAACATAGTTTATAACTATACATGTATATCTTCGTCTTTTATTGTAAAATTACACAGCATGAATATCAGTTTCTAACAAGTATATTTGAACAACTAATACATGTCTCTATATATATTTATTATATAAAACTAATGTTTCATCACAGCCTAATATGCTATCATCAATATATCTAAATAAAATCATAGGTTTAACAAGTATCATAAATACTGAAACATTTATTATCAAAAATTCAAATTAGAAAAAGACGACTTTATTCAAAATTTATCACACAAAAAATGTTAAAAGTTAAATTTTCAAAATAAATGTGTAAACTATATCGAAAATAGACATTCCAAATTTCTGTTATTAAACCCCCAAAGTGACAAGTTTTTAAACGGCTATGACTGAATGTTCGTTCATTTTATCCTTGCCTGTTATATTAATGAATAATTTGTGTAATTGTAGTATCTTAATATTTTTAACACGTCCCTCAGGAGCCAAGAGGTGTCTTTACACTACAATTTGTTGAATATTACAAGTAAGTTCAATCCGGAAACTCCCAAAGACGTATCTTTTTTTAGACAACTTCAAGAAAAGTTTTCATTTGTTAATTGATAATTTAAAAAAAATACAGAATCCTCAAGTCTCCATACTAGCTAGTACTAAGGTCTAACTGCTGGGAGTAAATTCAGTATATATCAATAATGCCACATTTTCAGCATTATAATTAAGCAATTGTCAACCTTTTATGCTTCTGATATCACCTTTTTATGTTTAGCTTTCAAATGAGATACAACGATTTCACCTGTAGAATGAGCAGACAGGAACACTTTGAAAGCAGCTACAGGCATAATATTGCACTCGGCTTGCTGCACAGTATTTACAAAGGTGGTTCTAAACAGTTCCTGAATACCTCAATCTGTCATTTGGAGACTTCCATGTTTCTTGTGCTTGGCCGTTAAGCTCGTGATGCACTGACGGATTTCAGTCACCTTACCACTTCAAATCACTTTTCGCAGCCCCAACGTTAAAAGAGTGTTTGAAATGCCTTCTTTTTATCCAGTAACAATGTACAAAATTTTTCAGTTCAAATTAAGAAAAACCGGATTGGGTAGTTTATTTCAACAAAAATGTCCCCCCCCCCACTGGAAAATAGCAATAATTGGGAAAGATTTTTCGTCAATTCTGTGAAAAATTCTAATTCTAGCAAGGGGTATATGTTTTTCTACATGATATAGCCTTTTCAAAATTATTAATTTCTTTCCTTAATTTGGAATTTTAATTAACAATTTAAAATTTAAAATATCAAAGCATTCTTCGAATTTTGAAGTAGCTTTATAAATCATTCTTCACCCTCACACACACATATATACATGTAAAAAGAAACATGAATTATTTGACTTGGAGGAGATTACTCTAGAGTATAGTGCGGTTTATCACGTTTGATTACATACACAGAATGTCATGCAATAAAAAAACGTTAATCAGCATGTTATCAAAGTCCCGTTCAAACATTTAATAATAAATGTAAAATGTTCATCTCCTCCTCTTGAGATACACGTACAAAATGTATTTTCATTAAAAGTTCAATTGAAAATTAATGTCGATTCTTTTCTCTGTATCTCCCTCTTTTTTTAAAAAAATGGATATGAACTTGGTAAGTGACACATTAATCTGACTGAATTACCATGACATATCAAAACAAAGAAGCGTAAGGTGAATTCCAATGATATACTGACGTAAACAGTTTTAATTATACAAGTAATTCATTATGGCCTAATGTGTAGAATAAGAACATTCGATAGCTTCATAACATAAAAACTCAATATTCGTAAGTCTTGAGGAAAATAAAAAAATTCATTCACACATCACATAACTGCATTAAGAATTTAAACTGCAATTGCAACACACGGATCTAAAGTATTAGTGGCTTTTACACACGGATCTAAAGTATTGGTGACTTTTAATGTTTGTTTAGTTTTGAATTTCACGCAAAGCTATCTGTGCTAGTCGTCCATAATTTAGCAGAGATAGACTAGAGGGAAGACAAGTAGACAACATCACCCACCGCCAACTCTTGGGGTAATCTTTTGCCAACAAGTAGTGGGATTGACTGTCACATTAAAACACCTCCACAGTTGAAAAGGCGAGCATGTTCGGTAACGGAGATTCAAACCTGCAACCTGTAAACTGCGAGTTAAGTGCCCTAACCATCAGGCTGTGCCATACCATAAATCTTCTATCAACAAAAACGAACTTGTCAACCAATGTGATCAGTGACAGGTCCTCTGACTATCAAATTGGGTTTATATAAATATAGAAAAAGAATACGGCCATAATCTTCATTTTGATTTAAATGATGTACGACCTTAAATTTATTATTTGCCAGTAAAGATACAGTTGTTTATTTTGACCTTACTCATTTATAAACTGTGTCTATTCATTATATTTTCTATTACATTTTTTAATTAATTTGCCTAATAAGTGTATCATTTATAATTTCTTTTCAAACCATATCTCTGATTCCTCTCTTTTTCATTAATTATTAATTCATGAACTTCGCATCCCCTTTTTACATTCTATTCTGTTATACCTCTTCAATGAACATCACTGTCATATTCTTATCTAAAATTAATGTCAATGTTTCCGTGTTCTCAGGATGGGTTCCAATGGCTATCCATAACTTCATTATGGAGGATGTTCCGAAAGTCGTTTTCCATAGGCCGAATATTTTTAGACGTTTACAGAATATGATCGAAATAACCGCCCTAGGAACTGATAAATTGCTGAAGACGTTCAGTCCAGATCACTTCCACTCGTTCATAAATGCTCAAAGCTATTATCAAATAACTTTGTACAGAAACAAAAAAAAAGTATTAATTCCTTCAATATTACGATGGCAACCGACTTTGAAGCACCCTATAGATCAATGGATTGCATTTCACATTCTATCATTTATATCTCACTTTCCGATAGTGATAATGTTTATTCATTATATTTGAATTGGTTTTATCTAGTGTTAGTTTGAAGGACCGCGAAGCGAAAGGTCCAAGATTCGAATCGCAATATCCTCCTAAACACACTTTTCACTTTAAGTTATAAGAATGTTATAACTGTGGCAGACGACATGTGCTTCTAGTTGCTTCTAAATGAGGAATCACTATGTGTATTCTTCGAGTGTCAACTTTTAAAAACAAACAATATTAAGTAGGGTTAGCTTATGCGACACAAATATTTACTTTGAGTTATGTGAAGAACATATACTCCAAAAAATCGAACAAACATCATCAGGCAAGAAATGTCTTTTTAAATATCAGATTGTAATATAAGAAATGGATATAATAACATATTGAAATTTATAAATGTAAAAAGAAACGCATGTGGAAGTTATAAACTTTATTGCTTCGCTTTATATAATCGATATGTCAATTAGTCGTTACAAAATAGGGCAGCAGTATGCATGATCAGTATTGATACTCGTTGTCTTCCTGCTTTTTAGTAAAACTAATAATGTTATATGCTATGCTTACATGATCTTCTTTTATGACGGAAAATTATGCCAATGACGATATACGATTATTAATGTATTTTTCAATCCAAAAATTTTTTTGTTTTGATTTATTTTATTTTATTCGTACATATGGTCAATTATGTTATCCCGAATTTTTGTTTAACTAAGTCGATTAAACAAAGCTGTATAGACAGTGAGTATTGCTACTTCCTTCATCGTCGCGTCGATCACGCCCATTCTGATAAATATGATTATGTACTATTGTCCTCCCATTGGGGTCAGCGATAAGTTGAAGGAGTTACAACGCTAAAAATCCGAGATTCAATTCCCTGTGGTGGACAGAGTGCAGATATTCTATTGTATTGCTTTATACACACACACATACATGTATACACACTATTGCTCTACACACCAATTTTCATTGTAGCAATCTTCTAATCAATTTTAGACTAATCCTCTTGACAAACTTTCCACAGACCATCCACTGTACGTGAGACGTCAGCTTCCAAGACAAAGTAAAAGCAATCCAAATGCGCAATTAATTAATATTAACTTCCGATCAGAGTAAGCAATGTGCTTAGAACGAAACTAAAATTTACCCTTGTATCAGAAATGACAATATAATTATATATACTTACTATAGCTAATTAGAGCTACATAAGAAAACTGGACAACAATGTAGTTGAATGGGTTTGTGGTGACTTACAGACTTCGAGGTGTGGCTGGAAACTTAAGTTTTTGGTTTATAAGCCTTAACCAACTACAAACCATTATTCAATATTTTGTAATGATAGTAGGAGATATTCCCAGCTTCAAAGTAATGACTTTGTGGGTCGGAAGGTTCTCTTTCGTAATTATAACTTCGCCTTTTAATGAAATTATTGCTTTGGATAGGGTTGGGGCGTTGTTCCGGAACCAGTTGCTCCCCTAAACACTCTGCTGTCCGAACTTTTTTTACTTCTCTGTTGCACATTGTGTCTTTTGACTCTCAACGTTTGAAAATATCGCTATATAAATATCCTTCATCGGACAGGACTGTGATTTATTTATTCAGCCATAAATCTAACCGGGATTGGATTTTCTGATGATTAGGAATGTGCCCTGAATTAAATGTAAACTTGTTTAAACTTGTCACCTGTGGCATCTATGGCAACATGAAAATATATTACCATATGCAAATTACTCATACAGAGTGTTATTAACCTTCTCTATTCATGTGTATTTAATAACTTAGTGTGCTATGGGGAAAACTTCAATTAAGTCTTCATTTCTGCTACATAAACAAATTTAGTCATGTATGCTTAAAAATATTAGACAAACTATTATATTACATGATATTGTAATGTAATTAAATATTTGTCTTTCAGTTACAGATAATTGGTTACAACTCCGATCTGTACCCAAATATTACTGAAGCAGTAAGATTACATAAAAACCAAGGACTGGTAGGTGTATCCGTTATGTTACAGGTAAGTAACTGTTTAACCTTTCACCAAAAACAGTGTAAGTTATCTACAGTTGATTCTAAATTCTTCTCAGGAAATGCTCTAAAATAAAAATCATTTGAGGATCTAAGCATGTATTGTAACTGTTGTTGTTTTAGGAATTTATGAAATTTTTGCTCTGTGTGTATGTGTTGCAAAATCCTTAAACGTTTATAATATCTTAATAAGAAGGTATCTTTACACTAGATATATTTAGATTAAGCCTTGTATCTGTGTTTTATTTTGTAGATAAATACAGTATTTAAGTCAATCTTAAATAGTTTAGTAAATATATAGAAATATCTTAAGAGAGAATACCTAGCACGAACCAAATTCAAAATGAAATTTAGAATCTTCACGAATCTATCTAGAACCCTTGACTTATGAAGTAGCACATAGAACTCTTAAGAATTTATTTAAAAAATCTTAACTTATAAAGAAAAACATAGAACTTCTAAAAATATATTTAAAGCTTATTGACTTATACAGCAGAATTTAGAATATTTGCGAATCTATTTATAATCCCTGGAATTATAGAGCAGATCTTGAACCATTAGGAATTTGTTTAAAACCCCTTGATTTATATAGCAAAACTTGAAATGTTTAAAATATTAGAGCCCTTTGTTCTATAAAATGTTATGACGACATTGTGATAAATGTTCAGATGAAATACACTCAAGGCTGCTCTTATCGTGTTCACGTCATTAGCATTTTTAGCTACTGATAGTTAATAGATCCTGAGTAGTAAAATTTCATTTCACGTTAGAAAAATTCATTCAAAACCCATTTCAAGTGTAGGTTGTGCTGCTCACAAAAACTGTATTTAAAATCTAACGCTTGTTTCGTGAATAAGCCGGCGGCTATATTCCTCTGTGTTTAAGATATAAAAGGTTTAACACACAACCTGTCACAATAAGAGCATCAACTTATCTTGTGTTTTGAAAACTAACATTTCTGGAAGGATTTTTCCAAATACCTCAAAATGCCGTTTGTTGTAACAATTTTACTGAACTAAGAATGTACGGTGATGTAATAGTTTTAAGTACCACGCGTTTTGTTAAGTACTTTCACGTACTTAAAAAATGATTAATCATTCATTGAAAATTTTAGTAACTGCAGTGAAGCATTGTTTAATGTTAGGCGAATGGGAAATTCAAACTTAACAATTTACTTATTTTAGTAGAACTGGATCTGGAATTAATTTCATTTGAATGCATAATTCCACTTTCATAAATGTGTCGGAAGAAAGACAGTTTCAGTTCATGCAGTTAGTCATGATAACAGTCACTGTCCACTTCTTATGTTTTATTTACCTATTTTTACGGCAATATATACAGAAATACGGCTTAACCATAACTTCTTAAACATTACATGAACATTTTCAGTTGAAAATATTTACAATAACCAGAAAATGTCATGTAAGGGTGAAAATGTTTCATAATTCCATACAAACCTTCACAGTGGATGACGGCGTGTAGCCGTCTTTAATTTTGAAGTAATAGACTAGAGGTAAGATATTTTACTCAACAGCACCCAGTGCGAACTCTTGGGATATTCTTATGTAACCGAATAGCGGAATTTAACCGTCACTCTATTAGCGCAACGACGGCCCCAAAGTGCGGAGCGAGTTTTTACGGCAACGGAATTCGAACCGTGAATCCTTTGAGTCACAGTACTAGCACGCTAATCACTAAAGTACGCCCAGTTCAGTGAAAAGGAATTCTGCGGTAAGCCTGAGGACTTATAATGCTAAAGCTCGAGTTCGATTCCTGCGATGTGCAAATTACAGATAGCTCATTGTGCAATTCCTCAACAACAAACAAATAAACAAACTTTAGAGATTGTTTCGAATTACTACACTCTGTATGTGCTTACCCCAAAACTACACTATAGGCTATCTGTGTCTACCGCGGATATCGAAACTCGAGTTTTAACGTTATAAGCTCGCTGAGCTACCGTTTGGCAGTTGTATAGTAAAAGAGGAAATTATCAGATTTTAAGTCTTTTTGTAACGCTCAAACATCATACTAAAATATGAGCAAAAATACACAACTGTTAATCTGTGTTGCTGTAATTTGCAATAAATTACATATATACTGACTAGAAAAGGTAACTATTCTATATGTTCTGTATTTCAACAAATGCTAATATATGTCATTAAAATTTTACTCTTCAAACATTAGTCAGGAATAATGTGTGTGTTGTATTTCGTTACCAAGAAACCTGGCGTGGCCTAGCTTGATATTCAATTGTACGAGCTGATAGCTTGAATAATTCAACACATAGGCAGAGTTTACTTTAAATCTATAAAGAACGATTTTCTTCATTTGCTTTTTGCTGGTAGCGCAGCCGAAAGGGAGGAACAGTCTTGTTAGGCTTAACGTTTTGTTTTTGTGTAATATAAAGTTTCAGTTGGAGGTTTATTTATTGTTTCCTCTGCTATCAGAACTTAGCTTTTAATAATTTTGTGTCGACATTTATCACTTTAACTGTAGTGATGTAGTTTTATTTAGACCTATGAAGAGTAAACTCAATTTTGTTTCGTACCAGACTTTAGGTATTATTATGTTAGTGTAAAGCTGTCCTCACTGCATTTTCAAAATACCCCTTTAGTATCGAAAAATTTGTTTTAAGTAGGTCTGTCTATCTCTCTCTATATATATATATTTAAAGTCACAAACTCCAAACTCTGGGTACAGATACAACTTTGTGCGGGAAGTAACATGGCAGAGGGCTCAGAGGCTGTTTTGAGGCCAAAGTGATCAAACAGCAATTTTTGGCAAACAGGACGACCAGTTGGTCTCAAATTGATAATGCCGGATATTTTTGGTAATGTATGATTAGGAGGGCTATTATTACGTTTCTTCTCTGTGTGAGGACTTCTCCTAATCATTCTAACCGTGATCAGTTACGTGTTAGAACGATTTAGAGACTTCGTAGAGCCTTCATTTGTGTTTCCCCCTCTCTTTTTTACACATACACGCCTACTCTCTAGCTCCCCTTAAATTGAAAAAGACTAGTGCTTTCTCTCGAACATGTGTGCACACTCCCTCAACTAAATAGGTTTGCTTCAGCCACATCCTTTGCTTTGATTGCGTGCACTCGCAAGAATCAGCTATACGATGACTTTACATAAATGTTTGGTATCGGAAAATTTTCATTTACGTTTTGTTGCAACGAGAAAAGAATAAATCAATTATTCATTATATGGAACGCTAATAAAGTCAGAATAGGTTGCAAACGACACTTGACTACACAGCAGAACTCTGGACACTAAAAGATAGAGAATTTTATTTTGAAAAACTAAAATATCATGCAAAGCACACGCAAGGAGTATGAGCAATGTACCGGGTCTTGCATTGATCAAAATAGCTTTAGCAAATTTTTATTCTTTTCGCAGATTGTTATTTTTATATTTTTTAATCAAAATATTTAGTTAGGTAAAGAAATCTTTCTGACGTTTTTCACATAAAATCACGATTAATATGGTTGATTTAATCAAAACAACTCAGAATAGCCATTTTCATCCAAACAACGCTAGGTACTCTACTAGTAGCAAATAAGATGAGGACCTTTAAAGCTGCTTTCAAACCTTAAATAAGATTGAGAACAAACCAAAAATCAGATATCATTAACATGTTTTGCAAATCAAGATTTGAGGTCGACAATGACATGTATCTTTCCTGACGAGGTGGTTTAGTTTGCCATATTTTGTACTGAAGACGAGGAGTTTAACGTTTAAAATTCTAATAAATGTAAAACGTGTGTGTTATTAGGTGTATTTAGTTCCAACTGCCTACGCTAAACAAGAGACAATGTGAACACGTTTTAACGAAACAAATTCCCTCTACAAGCGTAATATCCACAATACAGTCTATATATCATAAGTTAAGTTAAAATGACGTTCTTTTCTGTCATAAACACATATTGGATTTAACCACAAAAGCTGCTTTTTACCTCTAAATATGACGTCATACGATTGACGTCATTGGCAAATATCTCTAAGCTTTAAGAACATATCCCTATTTATTCTATTTTATTATTCCAAATTCAACTTCAAGGACTGACTCAAGAAACTTTCATTCCTTCTGATCTATAGATAGCTTGATGACAGTAATATTCTATTTGATGAAGGACGTTATTGTATGCTCACCTGATTTTTAAAGTTATAGCTGCTCTAAACTGAACCAAAATAGAAAAATAAAGCACTAACACTAAAATAGAGGATGAAGTTTAGTGACTAGCTGCTTTCCTTCTAGATTAATAGTGCAAAATATCGGGAACGGCTAATGCAGATAGCTCTTTTGTATCTTTCGGTGAATGTCTGAAACAAACAAGTAAATACTACAAATAATTTAACGGTTTGTTTTTGTCGATCTCATTTAGTTCAATTAGTTGTTGTTTTTTTATTTTTAGTTGGAAATTGAAACATCTGTCAAATGTAGAGAAATTCAGTTTGATTTTTAGTAAAATTCATTCTCTTAAGAACCTTGAAGTAGAAGAGGGACATGCTATTTCTTATCAATAATTCATGTGTCATGTTATGTTTTATTTATAACATTAACTTAATATGCTTCTCGTTTCTTATTGCATATTCTTTAAAAATAAAGACCTCTCATGCTCTAAAAATAGTTGTTCTGCGAGACATTCTACGAAAACGACTTTTGTTTTTTTTAATAGTAGTGATGAATTCAGTTGATATGTAAAAAAAGTAGATATGGTGATAAATAATGAGTTTTTTATTAACTCGCCTTTTGTCTTTGGGAATTAGAGGAAAAGAACCTCTCAGATATGGATCAGCCATTGGGCAACTGGGACATTAAGAGTTTAGATGTGTTTTTGCTTTAGAAAATAATCAATTACCTAATGAAATAAAGCCCAAGATGTATACTAGGAAAGAGAAGAAAAATGGCATATGTATATATAATTTCATATTTGATAGTAACAGTTATTTGCACATTGAGTTAATGTAGTATACTTATCTGTTTCAGGAAAACATATGCATTGTTTATGAAGTGAAATGAAACAGAAGGAATAAAGAAATCTAGTGTTGGATATGGAAATGTGAATTTCAATGAATAAAAAATATTTATTAAAATATGAATCCCACGAGCTAAGACACGTAATGATAAGGCCATAGAAAATTACGTGTTGATGGGGAATATCTCTTGCATTTCTAAAAAAAAAACAACAAATTATGTAAACTGAAATATGTATTTACCGACGATCCATTTTTTTTTCAATACCACTAAGTTAAATTTATCTTTATTATTCCAAACACGTTTTTCTATTACACGGGTATAATAATTATCCATAAACGTGATGATGGGGCATAGCAACTGCCTATTTTCCAAGATAACTTCACAGGCCCTACGATAACATCAGAAATTAAATAAGCCAAAATAACTGTGTGTATAGATATATTTATATAATGATAAGGTAAACACGCACAAGAAGAGGAAGAACCATTTTCTAGACAACTCTTCTAACATTTGTGTTTTCTTATTGCAGAAACGTTGTTTTATTGTAATCACAGATCACCGGTCTCCTTATACAAACAGTATACTTACCTCTGTATTATTACTATATAAGTAAAATACCTTAGTTGCAAGTAGAGTATTACTTATGAAATATAGCTCATCTGAAAATAAATTTTAAATTTGCTTTCTCGGTTTTAGCTACTTTGAAGTTGAATTAATCTCAACCGAATCCGAGTTTCCTGCAATATATAATAAATACTGGAAGTTATAACAAGAATAGAACTCAATAATAAATGTCCATGGTTTGATAATTTTAACAGGTTTCTTTGTATACTTAATCAACAAAGGAGTAACTCATAACATCTCAAATTTTGTTGTTTTAGTTTATTAATAAATTTAAAAATCTGCCAATCGAAATGTGAAAAAAATCTAGAACTTGAGAGTACTTCAATAGAAACCAAACAAATAATTTAATATATTAAGCATAAGTATTATAATAAATTATAATAAGTTATAAACTGTAATAAATTATGAATATTAAATTAATTTGAAAGTTTGATTTGTAAAGGCTACAAAATTAAAATACTATTATACTCTTCTCACCAAAACGTTTTTCAATGAAACAAAATTCCATACCTTACGTATTGCTGAATGTGAATGATTTAAAATTTCAGATGCGTATGTTTAGTTGTTGTTTTATAATAAAGTCTGAACATCCTAAAATTTTGGTCTAAAGCATTTCACTAATTAAAACTTCGTACTTAAATAGTGCTAATAAAACATTATCAAATGTCAAGACTGTCAACATAAAAACAAGACGATATAAAGATAATTTTTCTGTTCCAGACAGCGTTTCAGAGCCTTTGAGTAAATATTTAAAAAGCTGAAACAAAATTCTAGAACCCAACAGAATTGTATGCCCTATAAAAATCTAATGGCACAATCTTTGTGAATATATGAAGATGAATGGTGTTTTTTAACTTGTTCTTATTATAATATGTGATGGACTCTATTCTACTCAAGTTACAGATTATGTTTCAGTAGTAGAAAAAGGATATAAAATGCATTCTTGGGTGTATGTAATGGACTTTTGAAATATTTGTAAGATACTGGTATTTATTTTAACAGTCTGGTGATCTTTCAAATGCGGAACTTCGAATTCTAACAAACCAGCTTGAAAAAATACGCTTTCGAGGTATGTATAACAATGTATTTTGTTACTTTATTTACTAGATGAAATACTCCATCTTGGAATATTTAACAATTCATTTTATATTGAAAAAATACGCTTTCGAGGTATGTATAACAATGTATTTTGTTACTTTATTTACTAGATGAAATACTCCATCTTGGAATATTTAACAATTCATTTTATATACTGAGCAAATACTCTATCAATGTATGTTTAACAACGTACTTATCGTTTCTTTATTTAATTTACTGGCTACATTTGAGTCCTGATTATTGCATCAACCGTTGCCAAAACTAGTGAACTCCTGTTTTGTTTTGTTTTTTTATCAAGAAATCTTATATTATGCTATAAACGTCGTCTGTTTTGATTTCAGAAATAAACAGCATAATTTGTCTTAAAATACATTATCGTATAGAGGTATTTTTATATGTAGCTTATTAATTTTATTTACTGAATAAGATGTTCTATTGTGATATGCTTGGTAATGTAAGTTATTCATTTCATTCACTATATAAGATAATCTGCCGTGTTATGTTTGATAGTGTAGCTAATTCATGTCATACGTATTATATTTGTTTCTATTTCAACATATCATCGCTATGTATATATATATCTGTGGGTAATTACTTCATTAGCATTTATTTTCGCTTACAGATCTTCTGTAAGATATACTGATACGCAGTTCTTGAAATTGATGATTGAATAGCTAGAGTTGAGACTAATACGCAATAATAATTGCCCAAATGTTTTTGCTATTTTTTGAATGAAGTTAAACTTAATTATCTAAAACTAAGAATTCTGCTAATACAAAAATAATTAAGTCTGAAGTTTCTAAAAAAGTCAAGGACTTTAATTTCTGATAGTTGGAAAATAAGCTTTCGTGAATTATGTTATTTAAATGCAAATTTTCATATGCTGTAATTCCTACTAAACGTGCTCTGATTTTTGTCTTGAATGTATTGGTGAATTACAGATGAAATAAATTTATAAGTTCAAATTTAAGCGTGATATCGAACACAAGTTTCTCTACACATGTTTCGGCACTTAAGAAATAATGAATTCGATTCTTCATTAAAACAAATCTTAGTTAGTTTATATGTAAAAATATGTATATATATATTTTACTGTTAAAATTATTTTCAGCTTAATGGTAATATTTCTTAATGTGAAAGGGAATCGCAACGTAATTTTGTTCTAATTAATGAGCATAAATATTTATCTATTCACCTAAATATGCTAATGAGTACAAAGTAATAATTAAAACATTAAAAGTCACATCTTTCAGCAAATAAAAAAAATTCTGTAACAGCCTTATTCAAATGTAAATACATCGATAATACTTCGATAAATGCACCCTTTTAATCCAAAATTTGTAAATGTATTGATGTGGTACGTTTGCTATATTTAATACCAGATATCTTGTGTTACTATGACAATGGTTTTATTACATTTAATGCCAGATATACTGCATTACGGTAGCGATACTTATACTAAATTTAGCGCAAAACATAATGTATTGACATTATAATACTTTTACCACATTTAACGCCAGACACTCTGTACTACCATAGTGATGCGTTTATTAAATTTAACGCCAAACATAATATATTGCTATTATGATACTCATACCACATTTAACGTCAGACATGTATTACCATAGCGATGCGTTTACTGTGTTTGACCGAAGGCAGAGATATTGTGTCATTATCTTGACGTTTTTGCTACGTGCAACGTCAGAAATAATATTACTATAGTGATACTTTTGCAATGTTAAATGTCAGCTATATCTTATTACTGTTACTGTAATTTTTGAAAAATAAACACAACTTTTAATCTATCATATTACTGTAACAATACCTTGAATGTGCGTTATTCAAGTAAGTCCGGATTGTTTTTTATGTAAAGTTTCTTGTGTGTAATGAACTTTTTATCTCTCTACTCTTTAAGAGTGAAGCCTAAGAGGTATTAGAAAAAAAACACATGCAGAACATTTCTATCATCCGTAACTGATTGAGCAAATTCCAAAAATTTAATGTCTCGTAATTCAACTCAGCGGTAGCGCTCAAAAACTCCTACACCTTAATAAACTATTTAAACAATAAAATGTAATCCCCTGTGTGTGTTTGGTGTCTGTACTGAGCAATAATTTAATAAAACAATTGCTATTATTATTGTTTTTTTTTCCTTTTTGACAGAACCGCTAGAGATAATCAAAAATGTTTAGTTTACAAGCAACATTTTCTTTAAGGAGTTAAAACAATGTTTTTACTTTCAATATGTAGTCAAGTTATGAATATGTAATTAATTACAGCTCTTCTGTAAATTACAAAATTAACTGACAATCTGTCTTTAATGTTTCATGCTAGTGTATCACGTCCAGTTTATTAGGGTATCATTCCTGTTACATGCTTGTCAAAATTAACGAAGATATTTTAGTATAAAATTCGTAAAAATTTGATTTTTTTTTGAACTTCTGCACATTCTATAGTAATTTGAGAAAACCGCGTCCAACGTACCCTTTAACTGTGCTCTTTTTTAACACACTTCTTTCTTATTATCATTATTAATTTCTAGCTGTTCTACAACTTCAACTTTATTTATTAAGCCTTATTCACTCTAAGCAGAAATTTCACGAGTATTTATATCCTAATTAACTGTGCACTGAAATTTCACTTTTGGATTTACGTTTTTCAGATTACTCTGAGCTAAAGTTAAGGTATTAAGGTTATCAAGGAGCGTGCATTCCGATGTAAAATTAAAACAAGATTATCGGTTATTCTACAGTATTCAAATCAGAGCTCACCTATATTTTGAAAGAGAGTACTGACCACCCTTTATTAAAAACCTCTATGACCATAAAATCATATCATCAAACATGCTGCATAGATTTATTTATCATTCCTGTTTAGCTATAGGTTTTATTAGTGTTACTAGATTCAAATTAATTTCAACGATTACGGGAGTGAATGGATGTGCAAATGCTCACATATGCACACGCTGAAAAATTTTAACATATCATCAAACTATATTTTTCATGCAGGATCCTCTTAGTGCCGAGTTAAGCAACTCTACAGTATTCTAATTATGTTGCTCCCCGGGTGGCTCAACGGTAAGTTAGTGGGCTTATAGCGTCAAAAGTTGGGTTTCGATACCCACGGTGGAAATTCAACTAATCTCTAACTTATACACCATTCAAGTAACTTAGATGTCTGTAACTACATATTATTCAACTAATCCATAGATCTGTAACTACACACAATTCAAGTAATCCAGAGATCTGTAAATACGCATAATTCAAGTAATCCAGAGATCTGTAACTACGCATAATTCAAGTAATCCAGAGGTTTGGAACTACACATAATTTAAGTAATCCGAAGGTTTGGAACTACAAATTATTCAAGTAATTCAGGAGTTTATAACTACAAATTATTCAAGTATTCCATAACTTCTAGCTACAGATATTCAAGTAATCTATAATTCTGTATCTACGGAATATTAAAGTGTTCCAGAAACCATAACTTGTAGTTTGCTCAAGTATTCAAAGAATTATTAATATTAGATTGCTCAAGCAATCTAAGAGTCTCGATCTTACAGACCGTTCATGTAATCCAGGATCCAGAACTTATAAATTGATGAGGTAATCTAGGAGTTAGTTCTCTGCAAAAACCTCCAACTGTTAACACCTTCTTACAGTCATATCAGTTCAATGGCCAGAAAGCTGTAGATAAATGTAAATTAATAATTACTCTTAACGTATAGTAATTATAAGTTCTTGTAACTGATCTTCTTTCTATTAGATAATATTATATGCCATAGAGGCGTTATTCATACAGTGATAAATTTCCAATTTTAGCCGCTGCTTAACGGCTCATAGAATGGCTATGACTTTTTCTTTTCAAGTACAAACTTTTAGCTCATAGCTCCGTCATCTCTTTACTGATTTGAGATATAATGGCAGTTTTGTACTCAGGAGGTCAAACCCTTTCGATTGAATTTGACCACGCTCAGGGTCTCATATAGTAATTTATTATAATTCTGCCAAAAAGAATTTTAATTTGAAGGTAGGCTAGTAGAGATCCTGATGAGTAATAAAATCGAATTGGGTATACTCGCGCCTCACGATTAGTATTGCTGGTGGACAAAAACATAGCTAATAAAAAAGAAAAAAAAAGGTTTCACAAATTAATTTACTCTAATCCTGCCTAAAAGAATTTCAAGTGCCGCGGCTATTGAGGATTTTTCTTGTTTTACTTTTACGCCCTGTGTTAGATTGTATTGTTATAAGTACCAAACGAATGCTGAGGAGTAGTGTTAAAGATACATGGCTAATATTGAAATTTAGTCAAAATAAAATAAATCATATAAACTAAACATACATATATATATTAAATATTTGCATTCATTAATATTTGAAAACTCCCCCGCTGGGACAGTGGTAAATCTACGGCTTTACAACGCTCAAATTATGGGTTCGATTCCCCTCAGTGGACATAGCAGATAGCCTGAAGTGTCTTTGCTAAAAGAAAACATGCACACATAATATTTGAAAAGTGCTTTATTTTGCCAATATTATGGTTTGTTTTTATTTAACACATTTACCATCTGAGCGTTTTGATGAAAAACAGAAACTGTTCTTTCAACTATAAAAATGCTGCTAAACTCATTAATGAGGATGAAAAGTAAGCCAGTGATTAAGGGTACGCGCACGTTAATCCGCCACATTCTCTTTGACAACATTATCAAGGTACCCTGTTAGTGAGAAGTACATTTTTTGTTCATCTTTCCTTCGGTCTGTGTCAGCAGTACACTTTTTGTTCATCTTTCCTTCGGTCTGTGTCAGCAGTACACTTTTTGTTCATCTTTCCTTCGGTCTGTGTCAGCAGTAACATTTTTGTTCATCTTTCCTTCGGTCTGTGTCAGCAGTACACTTTCTGTTCATCTTTCCTTCGGTCTGTGTCAGCAGTACACTTTCTGATCATCTTTCCTTCGGTCTGTGTCAGCAG